GAAAGGTTTCCTGCCGCTTTCAAATAAAAAAAAAATCCGGGACTTTTTAAAAAATGGATACCCGACAATTTCTGTCAAAACAGAAAAACAGTCAACGGTAAATAGTGGATATTTTCAGATTAACAAAAGTACCTTTAAAGCTGCAATATTTCGTTCTCAATTTTAAATACAAAATTTCGAGGGGGTAATCATTCAATGTAATCGTGGGACGGACGTGTTTCCTAAAATCATTATAAAATTTATATAAAATTTTGATATATAATCCGACAATTACAAGAAATAATTGTGTAATATTAGACAAAATCGTTTATCTTACCAAATGACCGCATTATAGTGAGGAAAAATTATTTGTTATCAAATAAAATTATATAAAATTAAATGAAATCATGTAATCTGTGAGACAATATTTCAGATAGTGGTTATATTCTCCTCGCAAAATTTCTTGTACTAATTTATTATCGCATAAAATATTTAAGAAACATATAAAACAAGCAGTCTTTGGATCAGAAGAAAGACAAAGTTAAAAAAATGTACAGCGTAATAAATAAAAAAAATTAAAGGAAGCAGTTTTAAAAAACGAATAAAGGCTATCATTTATAAAATATTTTATATAAAAAATATACGAATAAAAATTAGTTTTACATGAACAGAAAGAATTTAATATAAAAGATAAGAAATTAGTAGATAATATTGTAGATAAATCAATGTCTTTTTTTATGTCTATGACTGGAGAAAATATCATGTGTTTTATTTTTAAGATTTCAATTAGTTTATGTGCGATGTCTCATCTAACTTTAGTATCAGCTCCACTCGAGACTCCGCGATATATTGCGTTAAACACGTGAAGAAGACATTGTTAACCGCTGTAAATATTTAATCAATAGAAATTGTTCAGAGGGGATACCAAGTTAAGTGCTCTCAACTAGTTTAGTGGTAGTATATAATGCAATGTATCGATACTAGTTACTTGCTTTTTTATAATACTTGCGATAGCTTCTCACTGTGTGATAATAACAGTAACCCTTGTATCATCGTCTATATATGATGAATAATCATGTATTTAAATTAATGTTTACTGCTTTCGGAAAAAGATAACCGTGGCTAATTTACGACTAAATAGATAACAAAAAGTAAAAGAATTAATTTACTTAATGTTTACGAGTTGTACAACGTGATTTATAAATAACTTTTATGCCATCATCGATAATATTTTAATAACAGTAGAATTTCTATTTAAACGGATAAAGAAGATATTCAATTAGTCAATATTTCGGTAAGCTAGTAAATATGATATGAATACACATATGAAATAAACACGTTCGATCTTTCCGTACACGAAATGTACACTTTTACTTTTCGCGCGATGCAAAATCCGTTGTTTTCTATTTCATGTTTTGTTTCAATATTTGTTTATAACTTTGTAATAAAGCATTTCTAGTCAAACTTCATGTAACATCTTTTTTTATTTTCGCTTGTAGAATATTCCCACATTTTGTCCGTTAAATTATGAAACATCCTATATAAATAATCTTATATATTTATAATTTTATAAACAATGAAAAATTTTACTAAATTATGATTATATCTTATTTTAATATACTTATTTCTTATATTCTCTGTTCGGTTAGGTTTTAAAATCCATTTATATTTATTACGTACTTCGGGAAAAATTCGACGATATTTGCTTATTTAGCACACGACAGATGATCACGTGTTTCTTCGTGATAACGGCGTATTGTCATTATTTGACCAGGTAAATTAACATGAAGTTCAAACAAGCAAGATAATAAACATTTTTATGTAATAAGTGCGATTATAGCGAATGTATTTTTTCATTTGCATATAATACTTCATTTGCATTTAATACTCATGTTTATAAAATATAACGCAACTAAAAAATTATCCAATAATGTAAAAAAATAAGAAATAATTATTTTCACGATATATAGTTGCTTGAATATCGTTCTACGTGATAATCGTGTGTATATAATGTACATATGCATGCATATATAAGATCTAAATACAGAATTAATACTGAAAATTACTACAAATTATGATAACTACAACCATTTCTTTTTTTTTAGTACAGAATAAAAAGGCAATGGCCAATATTCAGAACGCGTTTACAACAATGTTAGCGTCCTAACATGTTATAGTTTACGTTATACTATTATAAAATTTCAGAGATAAAAGTGAGATATACCTAACAGTAAGTATAATAAATATTGATGATTTTATTGAACTGGATTCTATATTTATATTAAATATACAGATCTTTATACGTCAATTTGTGTACGACGGCTTTAATCTGTATCAGTGTGTATTGAGTGCGTCCAATCGAATTTACTATACAATAAAATATAAGATACAAAATATGTTTCAACGTTTAAACTTCTTTAAATAAAATATTTTTATTCGATTAAATATAACGCGACTTATTGAATAAATATAAAAACAATAGACTACTAAAATAACTATAAAAGCAACGACTGAATTCGTTATCATTAAAATGGTTATTATTAAAATGTTACGACGTTACTGTTTCAAATAGAAAAAAAAGTAATGATCGTTATTGAAAAAGCAACAATAATGACGTTACGTTAACGTATTACTTTCCAATCCTGATTTGTCCGTGTTGTTGTTAAATTATCTATATTGTTGTACAATTTAAATGATGCAATCAATGAAAAGTCCATTCGTAATTTTCCATCAGCCAGAAGAGAATAATATGAAATGCGCTGCAGTGATACAGAATCAAAGAATTAAATTAATCAAGTTGTTTTTCTAACTCTTTTCCATCTATCTGCGCAAGTTGTTTATACAGCATGGATTCTCATTCGTAAGTTTTTATTACTATACTTTGTAACCACATCAAAGTCCATTCCAGATTATCTATTTGTCATAAATCAACATGATGTGTTACATTCTATTCATAATCTTAGCGCAGCGAGAAATATTAGTGAAAGAATTATAGAAGTTACATACTTATAAAGTATATAATCAAGAATTTTGTCTCGCAATTTGATGAGAATTATAAATTGTCCAAAGGTTTAATATTAACATATAATGAATATCGCGTGTATCGTCATTCTGTGATTCCTATAAATGATACCTCTCGCTAAATACATAACACACAAATCGATACCACTCTATTGAACTTCTGAAGGCCACATCGCTTGAATCAAAATATTCTCGTTGTTAGTAAAAATATTTTTTGTTTCAATAAAAATCTCTTGTTTAGATATTGAGACTTTCTGAAAAATCGGCTACAAACTAACGCATCAATCGATAGCACACATTCAACACGATTTTAAATCTCTTAAATGGGACACAAAACTTCATCTATTCTTTTTAATTTCGTTATAGTAAGCTTCATGTTCGAAACAATATGTTCGAACGTCGTAGGTAGAAAAGACAAAAAAGAAAGACGGTAGTTACTGCACGAAGAATAACTGATGAGAGAGATCGATTTTGAGACTAAGTTTCATCAGAAGTCGCTAACTACGGATAAAGCAATTTTTATAAGTTTCTGGTAAAATCGCGTTTTGTGATCACGTCAAATATTTAGTCGATTAACGTTTATTTCTACCAATGTATAATAGATTAACTATAATATTTCGAGGTTTAACTTATTTTATTAAAACAATGGAATTAAACAATTTAACTTTTAAGAAATTTATTAAATTTCATCTAAATTTAATTAATTATTTATTAAGTGCACGTTAATATAGACGTTGTTTACTCTCTTTTTGAAATTAAATAATTCAATCACAGAAAGAATGCCCATTAAGAAAGACATCACTGTGTTTATGAATGTTCTAAGAATGATTCAAATATATTATCGAAACGTTCGGAAAATTTGTATACGATGAGTTAAATCATCTTATCAGAAATTTAATTATTAATAACAACTTCATTTTATTACGCACCGATTACAAAGATAATTCTTTATTGCCTGTTTTTGTTCGTTTTCGTTTTTTGTATTGTTTTCTTAAAAATATTATTTAATTCAAGAAAGGACCCCGCTATAATCTTATAGAACTTTCTTATATTGCTCTTTTGAATTAATTAATATTTTGTGAATTAAATAACATTTTGTTATACTTTAATTTATATGTATCGAAATGTAAATTCGTCTCTAACAAGTAATGTAAAGGGAAGGATCTATCCTCTATTAGTGTATCGATATTTCAGCTTTCGACTTAGAGACTAAAGTCTGATCATAACAGAAGATCCAATATTTTTCTTCAAAATTGCGTTAAGATGAGCAAAGATATTTTATCTCACTCTACAGCGATGCCAAAAAGAATAGGATATATCTTATTTCGTTCTGCGATGATGCGAGATAAAGATATGATACATTCGAAAATATATACTATCTCGCTTTGACTAAAGAGAAATTGATGAAAAATGTCGATCCAATCATAGGATGCTGTCACGGTCAGACTATGAATCTCTTTCACCAACTTTCACCAAATTAATCGACGATCACATAATGTAGAAGCGTCTCCTCTCTCTCCCTCTTTTGAGACAAACTATTTAGTTCTCACATTGGCAATCGTGATAATTGAGTTAACCATCGATTAACGTTAATGGGAGTTGATGAAAGAGTCCCTACAATTAGAGGGTTTCTATCTAGTGTTGCCAGGGGTCTGTTCAAAATTACTTATCCCTGTATATAGCAATTTTCCCAATATTTTAATCGTAATTGGACATTTCTTTGTATTTTCCTCCCAAAAATTCTTCCGAACTCTTTGTACCTCCAGAAAGTCTCTGGATAGAAAAAAAAAGTCTTCAAAAAACAAAGTGTTGTCCAAAATCGTGTCATGAGACATGTTTTGCATCTAAAAGACTTTATCGACGTCTTATGTCACAATTTTAGACTTAGTGTCGTTTGAGAAATTTGGAGGAAAATCCCTCAACCTGGCAACGCACAGTGTAAGAAATAATTTTCGACATTGGAGGAACGCGGTGCGATGATGTTTATATATGTTCCTTACCGGTAGCAGCAACGCCTGAGCGTCGAGCGGAAAGAGCGGTTTCTCGGCCGTCGGTCTGGAAGCCCAGTAAGCCACCCCGGTGACGAAGAGAGCACCTGCCGCGCCACCCAGATACGGCAGGTAGTCCTCGAACTGGGACTGTAACACTTCGTTTAAAATCGTTTGAACCGTTCGAGATGAACTGCCAGACTTACGTATAACCGCGTGAGAACGCGACGGGTACTACCTGCATAACGGCGGGTATCTACACACAGGTACGGGATGCGCTCTACTGCACGCGAGTCGTCCGACGACTTTGCCCCCAAGCCGCCCGAGCGTTCGACGAGATTCCGCTCACCACGAGCGACTCGAGCGCGGGCTCATAACGAAGTGACTTGACTGTATCCAAAGTTCAGTCCCCATGGTCCTGATTATCCGCGCGGGTCTCTCTCCGTTCCACTATCTTACAGTAGGCCCCGTTATCACGCTAACTGCAACCAACTGATGCAGGCCGCACGGTCTCGCGGGAGCGTTCTCGAATGCGCCGCGCGGCATAAGGCGGACCTGCAGCGACGGAGTTGCTCCGGCCGTATCTTTCGTAATAACGACGAAAATATTAAGTATAATCTCGTATACACACGATATACAGGAAGCGAGAGAGAGAGAGAGAGAGAGAGGGAGAGAGAGAGAGAGAGACAGAGCACGCGTGAGATAAATGGGCGAGCGTGGGGAGATACCGGCGGCGCGGCGCGCACGGCCGCGTGCTCGCTCAGAGCGAAGAGTCGATAAGCGATAGAGCGTGTACTCAGTACTCACTGGCGTGGGGAGAGGCAGAATCAGGCCCGCTGAGATTTTCCACGCGAGGAGACGGCGCGGCGCGCGGCGGGATCCTCGCTCCTCGTCGGCCGAGCGTGTCCCGTAGAGGATGTATTACGACGGCGGGGCGGCGCGGATTCCGCGCGAAGGATATGGCACGCACCAAAGGGGATGGCCGGAAGTGGTGGCTTAGGTCAGGGCCACGGCATGACAGCTGCCTTTTCCTTTTCACCACCGTGGATCGCTCGCACGCACGGATGCGACGCGGAATGCGGTTCGCCCTCACTGCCGTAAACGCGGCGCCATGACGTCACCTCGCGCACCGCGGCGCACGGCGAGGACGGCGCGAATCGATGCCGGGCCGGGCGGCCGGACGGGCGCTGCGACGACGGCCACCCTTTATCGTCGTCACCGCGACGGTGGCCACCCCGATGAAAGCGATATAATTCACCACCGGCGTGCGGCGCATGCGCGATCCACCGCGGCGCGCCGCCGCCCGCCGCCGCGCCGCCGTGGCGGAATGCCGGCCGATGAAATTTGCGAGACCCCAACTGTATTACCATATTGACATTATCGCTACCTTTTGTTCGATACCTTGAAAAATGAGGACAGTCCGCGAATAGAGCGTACGTACGAGATATACCTATAAAGTTGTCATACGTATAACGGTATATTGCTCCGACAAAGACCGACGACGGTTGAAAAGATATTGCCGTTCGTTGGATATGCTGAGTACTATAAGGCACGACAATTCGTGACACATTATTGAAAAATGTGTGTTTGGTATTTGTGACTGCGTGTAATCACGTTGTAAAGTAATTATGATTAGGAGTTCCATTTTTAGAGTTGTTATTTGTTATAGATTAGAAACGATATTATAATATTTAGCGTTCTATATATTTATAATAAGAAAATACAGTTGTTTTTGGAGTCAGCTGTATATGATACAAATAATATTTTTTTTTTTATATAGAACTGATTATTATTAAATTATTAATTAATTACAACAGTAATCATTAAAAATGGAGTTTTTAATCATTAGTTTGTTGTGCTGTTAAAGCCACACAAATACTAAAGCACTTGTTTCTCGATCGATGCAGTTGAAGTATAATACAAATAAAAGTAAAAAAAAAAATACAAAGAAATATCTTAAAAAAGAATAAAAAACATTTCTTTTGTAATTTTAACTATACTTTTTTGTTTTAGTAATTCTAATATAATTAATTCAATTTTATATTAAGTATAAGAAATTATTATAATGTTATATATTTATATAATTTTCAGTTTTAAGTTGCATTTTAAAACATTTTAGGACTGCTCATTGTTTATTAAAAAGCTATAACCAAATAAAACAAACAATAAATAAAATAAATTTTTTTACAACTGAAAATGACAACAGTAATGAACGAAGCTTTCAGATAGAAGAGAGAGGTCTTTTATAAACTAAATAATATCAATAATACGTATAATCTTCTTTGTATGTGAAAGGCGTTTAGGGGAAGTGCGCTTAGTATCGGACACTGCCATGTACTGGGAAATTAGATGATGTTAGTATCTCTTTGCTGCCGACAGATGACAGTTGCTTACAATACCCATTTAAACAAGCCACTGGGGTGTCGACTGGTTCTACGCTTTGCGCGATTGACTCCGGATTTTCTGGTTCGATTCTATTTGCACCTCATAGATGCAATTTTTTCTTCGCGTTGAATTGGGAAGTACTTTGATTACTCCAGTTTTGTGCTGGAATAAAAGAGCGTAGGTTTAAAAAGTGAATTTAACTGCGAAAACAGGGTTTTGAAATTACAATATGAATTTAAGCGTTCAGAATATATTCATATATATTCTTTTAAAATATTGTATTAGATGTATTAGATGTAGAACGAAAATGATTAAGACTCAAATATAAGAAATATAGATAGCTAGTTTCTAAGAGCCATTCCATTTCTAGTTTTATAAAAAGAACAAGCCACTGCCTTTATGAAATATTAAAAGTGCGTTTATTTTGGCGCTCACAGCTAAAGCATTGTAAGTACCTATCATTTATCCTTGTTTAATATGTAACTGAAAAATTATTATTATATTTATACAAGATGTTCAGCGTAACGGTTTGCATGATTTTTAAACACTTCCAATAGTTAAAAAGAAAGATTGAAAGGTAAATATTCATCTGTTTCATGTAGGCTACAACATGTGCTAAAAAATTTAAAATAACCTTTACTTTTTTTACTTAAAAATTGTTTTAATTTTTTTATTGCATGTCGTAGCCCACATAAAACGGTTGAATATTTATTTTTCAATCTTCCTTTTTAACTATCGGAAGTGTTTAACAATTTATCGTTACGTTGAACTTTGTATAATTGTAATTTTTTTATCAATTTTTTTATCTTGCTTGCATGCAATAAAAGTAAGGAAAATTAACTGTTACTGACATAAAAAGAAATACCATCAATTTTTACTATTCAAAGCAGCATTCTTCAGCTAAAGATACCGATGAGCACCTTAACCGGCTGGGTAGGCCATAGGCATTCGTAGGCATGTAGGGTCGCTTAGTCGAGTGGTGGTCTGCGGTTGATAAGAATATTCCAGGCGGTAACTATGGACGCCTCGATTGGCGGCTATTTGGAGAGAGCGAATCTTCAACCAGAGCTCTCATCTTCGAAGGATATGACGTTCACAGTCCAAAGTAGACGGGCATCGACATCGTTCATTCTCCGGGAATCACGCACGTGTTAGAAATTAATTGAAGAAAAAGATACGTAAAAAACGCCTTGTATTTTATTACAAAAAGAAGATAAAAGATAACAGATAAATACGAAGTGAATAAACGAGCGTAGCAAAATAGATCTTTAAAAGGAGCGCGATTTTCAGAGATTTTATTCAAGTTTAATGAGAGAAAAATATATCGCGATCAATCTACCATCTAAAATCCAATACCAGAAACATAAAATGTTTATACAATAATAAGTGAAAAATTGACTAAAGAATGTTCAACACAGATAAGCAAAGAGGACCATATTCAAAACAGATCTTGTGGTTTAATAATATTCTTGCGTGAATTTTACAATTCCCAGTTGAAAAGCAAAATATTATACAATATTATGGGGATTTCCCTGATAAAATCTGTATCCCTTTTGTCTTCGTTTAAGACACGAGGATTTGCCATACGAGCTTCAGGATATTTGCTGCTGTTGGTCGCGGGTGCGTACTTTGTCTGCTGTTTATGGAAGATCGGATCGATCAATCGATGGGACTCCAGCATGCACGCTAAGGGGTTAATTCACTTCGACCTGTCAATCCCGTCGTCATCGTCATCGTCATTATCGATGTCACGTGAACCTCCCCTTGATAGGACTAGCGCATTGAGACTCTCGCGCGACGCCGTGCGCAGAAAACGTCGCGGTACTCTGTCCAAGTATATGCTGCAGCTGTACCATCGGCGCCCGAACGCCGATGTTATCCGCGCGATTCAATCAGTGCACACCTCCGGCTTGCTCAGCGACGGCGGCAGGATTCTGGAATACGCGATCCCATCCGCCGGCGTTGATGAGACGCTGGAGTCTGCAGAATTGGTCGGGATAGCCGGCGCGATAATCAGAGTACAATCATTGAACCATCTGTCTAAGATGAAGAACGGGAGCGAGGAGGTCCGAAAGCTCAGGAAGGACGACACGTGGCGGGCCTTCGACGTCACGTCTATCGTCGCCGGCAGGAATGGCGACACGGTGAAGCTTTACGTTCACGGTAGGCTGACCTACCATCCTTACGGTGACGGGCCGATTCTTCTGCTGAATTACAAGAAGGTCAGAGGCGTCCGGCGCCATCGGCGATCCGCGGAGGATCAAGAGGATCAGGATCGTTGGGAGGACGAACCGCCACGAAGAAGACGCCGGAACAGTTGCCGCCGGCGTCCTATGTACGTGGACTTCGCCCTGATCGCGTACGACGACTGGGTGGTCGCACCGCCAGGGTACGAAGCTTATCAATGCACCGGTAAGTGCTTCTTTCCGATGGGCGATCATCTCAGTCCGACCAAGCACGCGATAGTGCAGACGTTGATGCATGGCGCAGTTCAGGCCAGCGAAGATCTCCGTGGCAACAAGTTTGTCAGTAGAGCCTGCTGCGTACCCACCAGATTAGCGCCTACGAGTCTGCTCTACCTGGACGCCAGAGGAACTTTGACCTACGAATACGGCTACGAGGACATGGTCGTCACCGAGTGCGGTTGTCGCTAGTTGATAAATCACTCCCATTGCTTCAAAAGTGACACAACACGTGATTCTTGAGTTCGAAGACCAAAAGGTTTGTGGATTATCGCCGTGTTTTCATTGTTAATGTCAACCCTTCACTTCATCAGGGCGAGTTTTTTTTTAGTTTTTAGTCTTTTAGTTATTATCATAAATTGTAGGTAAACATTGTGCTCTGTCTATCACCAAAAGTGAACTAACTTTATTAAAAACTTATCTAAAATAGGGATGGGCGATACAGTATCGATATCTTAAAATATCGATACTTTTAAGTTTGATTTTCGATATTTTGTATCGATTTTTTATCTTTCGATTAACATGTATCGACAGTTTAATAGGCATATTGAACTTTCGATTGGACTGTCAGTAACCAACTTCAGACGTGTCGTCCATGGTATAAAGACAAGGGTATGCTCACGCGCATGATAGTTTCAGACAACCAATCAGAAATGTCATTCACAATCAGTTTACGTCACATTAAGCGGCAAATTCAAAATGCATTTGCTTAGTACTTCTACATATAGTATTGAATTACAGGCTGCGTTCCGTTTCAGGCATATGCACGCATTTTATATAATGAGCGTCACGTATACTAAGGCAATGCGCGCATATGCGTGAAACGGAACGCAGCCACAGTATTTTCTAATAAGATTGACTTTAGAAACGTGATTTCTCGCCGCTAAATTCAAATAATTTATTCTAATACGTATCACGAATAATTTCAAAAAATAAAAAAGAAATCATCTTCCATTATATAAATTGTGAAAAAATTTATATAAAGGAAGGTGATTTTAGAATCTGTTACTAACTATTATTACCGATTGTTCGATGTTGTGTGAATCGCTGCTTCGATCTCGACTGAGATCTCAAATGACGGAATGTTCATGAATATCGAATCTGCAAACACTCGATCCGTCAATCCATTGTCAGCATATTCGTTCTCTCGGAGAGTTACTCATCGAAAAACACACTACAAGAAAGCGAAGTAATTTTTTGTAACAGCGATACTAGGAACATCATTACATTCGAAGAAGGCTCAATCAAGGAGCCGAAACATGTCATGTATGCATACGAAATTTGATTAAATTCAAAATTTTTTATATACAGGAAAATTTAAATTGTAATGTTTCGTTGACTCTCAGAGTTGCCCTTATTATTATCCTCTATTGTTTCAGCATAAATAAATATTATACATAAATAAATAAGGTGGAATTGTACAATAGTATTACTCGATGAAATTGTCAGTGCTCTTGGTGAAAATTTTTCATATGATTTTTTCAAAATTTTTAATAAAGAATTTAAAATCTAGATTTGTTTATACGAATGTTTATACGAATTCACATATAATAAAAAATTCTAAGAAAAAATGTATTCTTTTCTCAATACTTTTAAAAGCGTTTCATATAAAAATTCTGATAAATTTTCACCAGGAGTTTCGTGATATTTTTGGTATAATAATAATCGATACAATTCGTCTGATATTTTTGATATATCGATATTTTTATTTATGATACATAACGATACAGAATATCGATATCTTTTAATGTATCGCCCATCCCTAATCTAAAAGGTGCAACTAAAAAGGCAGATTTTAAGAAAGAATAGATAAAATCCTTAAATTCCAAAAGGTTTTTTTATGATTTGTAAAGTATTGTGTGAGACAAAAATAATAAAATTCACTTTTTTATTATGTTAAAAATATTTTTTTTTAATTGTTTGATATTATTTATTTAGTTGATTAGTCGATAATTTACTGTGAAATTGAAAATAGTTTTTCCTTTTTTAGAAAATTTCATCCTCCGCCGGCATGAATTTTAATTTTTCGGTCAGCAATAATCGATCTTTGAGAAATACAGCTTTTATTATTTCAGATCATATACAATAAAAGTCAACGATTTTTTACCATCATTAGAGAAGTCAGATTATACTTATTTTTTACAGATTTAAATTTATCTATCAAAATTCATGATCAGAATATCGATGGTACTTTTAAAGACTTCAATTGCCAGTAAAAGGTTAATTTCTTGTATCACTTTTGAAGTAATAGAGGGATTAATTTGTAATTAAATGTCGTGAATACTGAATAAAGAATATATGTTTCTTTCGCTTTTTTATTAACAGAATTAACGTGATATTGTGTAAAAACGAGTGTACAAAATACAGAATATAAATATAATACATTTGAATCCGGATGCGTAACGATCTTCGAAGAAGAAAAAGATGCATTGTATCATTATCGCATAATATATAATATCAAAAGTAAAATGGAAGTATAATATAAAACGAGAAACAAATTCGAAATTAACTGAAAGGTTTTCCACAGGAATCAAGATTCAAAAACTTATTTTTAGAAAAATAAACTTAATATTTAACATTTGTAAAAGACATAGAGCATTTTGTAAATAAAAAATGAAAAAGTTGTTATACTTATTATACTTTAAATAATATTTTTTTCTTCAACATGTCACTATTAATGTTATAAAAGCAGATAAAAATGCAATATGTTATGTGAAATAAATAAGTAGTAAACATAAAATTTTTGTAAAAAACAAGTCCAAGAGGTTTTTATTTTCTTAAATTACTTCTTAAAATGTTCATTAAATGATTTCATTAAAACACAGAGGCAAATTTTATAATGCTGAACTTTATATTCTATTCTGTATTTCTGTAAGGTTACTTCTAAATCAGCTTTAATGAGATGTATTCTCTTTATTATAAAAAAAATATATAAATATTAGTAAATATATTATTAATATATTCTTAAATATATATAATTAATTAATTGATAGATTAAATTAATTAAATATATAAATTAATATATAATTTTTTTATATTAAAAATTTTTTATTTCAATTAAATACTCTTATTTTCATGTACTTTTAAAAATAGAGAATACATATCATTTAAGTTGAGTTAGAAGATTACATGTGGCATCATTAATTTTTAAATGAATGGTGCGCAGTACAGATTTTCATTTCCTGAGAATTTAACTTTTTAAACTTATTTTTGTGAAAAACCTTTCAATCGTGTTTTTAGAATTATTAACAAAATCAGCCAATTGAAATTGCAATTCATTTTTAGAATAATTAAGCAAAAATATAAAAAGATGTCAAGATTTAAATTTCGGACTTTACCTTCTTTGTCTAAAATGCTAAAACAATATTAATCTAAAATAAATTGGAGTAATAAATGCACTGTCATATCGAAATTGAAATATAGCACTATCCATCAATTTGAACACAGACGCTATCATGTTATCATAAATTTCACTCTTAAAGTCACAATAATAAAAACAACAGTTTCGTAGTCCTTTATCGATTATCAAAAGAATTACTGATTGTGAGTAATCTTCGGTATGCGTTAATTTAAATTCGTGAACTTCGCGCACATCTCATTGTTTTTTTGATTAAGCCTATAGGACCTACCGGGTGAGTGAACTTTAATCCGGCGCGTTTTTCTTAGTCTATGCCGGCTGCCGGGTATCCTCTCGATTTTGTAGATCTGATACTTCACTGTAGTAATCGGCTGGCTCAGTCTCATGCACAACGCCGAAGGTCCACTGAAATCCACGGTGGTAGACAGTTGGAGCTTCGGCTCCATCGCCATCGTGAATTCCGTCTTGCTCTGTACGAAACTCGTGTGGACTCTGGTGCCGCCGTGTACCGTCACGCCGGCGTTCATCTCCACGAGGGAGTTTGCATTTCTCGACCACAGACTAAGCTGGATCTCACCAGCCAGTTCGAAGCTCACGGCGCCTTGAACGTCGAGCTCGGCGACGAAACCGGATCCCAATGGCACATATTCACTATGACTGTAGAGTGAAGCGATAGCTTGAAAGGCGGGGGTCCTCGTGTCCGCAGTGCCCGACCAGACGTGGCCCATCAGTTCACCCTGTCCGGTGAAAAAGACGAACGGTCGTATCCCGACGTCGAGGATATCGATCTCCATTCCAGCGGTGGCTATCTCGGTGTCGTCGGCTTCCGTCACTTCATCCTGATTCGACACGAAACTGCCAAGACCGCCGGCGAATAATCCTAGCGAGAACATCGCCTGTCGTTGCTCGTTGCTCTCCAATACGACGTCCACGATGCCGCGTTTTAAAAGACCGGAATTCACTTCCTGAACGGTGACCAATGAACCGTTACTGTCAGGTGAGCGCAGGAAGTGCCTCGCAAAAGCGGTGCTGAGACCCCGCTGCGCTTGCACGTGATAATTGTTGAGCGTCACGTTGCCATTGACGTATATATTCCTCAGATATTCGGCGAATCGCGCGTCCCTCTCGGCGAGCAGCTTCAGACGTTGACTCAGATACTTGCGGACTTCGTAGGCCGGGTCATTGCTGCTCAAATATTTCACGAAGTCGTGTAGAGCCTCTTCGGAAGGCTCGTTCTCTAGGATAACGTCCAGCGCGATCGTTCGCACGCTACTGTCCCTTCGCGGCCCGCCGATCTGATAGAAAACCCTGTGTGCCGCGCTCTTCAACTCGTCGGTCACAGCTTCACGTGGAAGGGCCTTCAAAGCGCGCCAAGCGGCGACGCTGATGGGCTTGCTGTCGCTTAACGCGTGCACCAGCAACGTAGGTATCGCCGCCGGGCACCTCAGGTTTCGCAGAGCTCGCAAGAACTTGAGCCTGCACTCCTCGCCGGTGCAAGTCTCCAAGCCTAGCTCCAGACTGACTCGCGCCTTCTCTATCACCGCGGCGGATCCGTAATGTTGCGCCATCGCGCCCGCCGTGAGCGCATAAGTCTCCGACACTTTGTCGTTCTGCATCGTTTCCTCGGAGCGTCGCAGAATATCTCTCGCGACGTCGACGTGTGGCGTCAGTGAGAGTGATAGTGCCCACAGATACCTCTCGGTCTCGTCGCCGGTCTCATCATGCCGGAGTATCTTCATGGCAGCCTGATGAGCGGATAACGTAGACGCGGCGCCGAATACATCCAGCAGCTGCATCTTTATCCGTTGATTGCGCGGCGTCTTCAGGACCTTGT